TATATGTATATATACATATGACTACTCCCACTGAAATGCATATATAGATCTCTCTGCACTTTATTATTCCTCAATTATCATCTGTTTTAATTGCATGACGGTAAATACTTTTTTATGAACAAGAAACCATTAAGTCAGGTCAAACACACACACTGTTTGAAAACATCTCACCATGTGGAGACCTAATTAAGATAATAACACGTATGAGAGAGAGAGAGAGAGAGAGAGAGAAAGAAAAAGAGGGTTTGAGTTTCATAGAAAATGATTGATCAATAATCTTTTAAAAAAAGATTCTGCAACATCTTGACAACCAGGGGTGCATGCATGCCAAGATCTCATGGATCTGTAATCATGAACTGATTCTTTCTTTTTGTGCAGTTAGTTAGTTGTTAGAATTGTGTTTGTTTGATTATGGAAAGATTGATAATTGCTATGTAATTTAATGTTGAGTTTCTTTCCAAAAATGTATATGCAGATGGTCGGTAATAGCAGCTCAGCTACCGGGAAGAACTGACAATGATATCAAGAATTATTGGAACACTAAACTGAAGAAGAAGCTGTTGACTATGCTTCCCTCACTTCAAGAAAAACCAACTCTTTTTCCATCTATGCCCTTCCAACCACCATATGATGATCATCATCATCATACATCAGACCACTTCTTGACTACTTCATCATCATTCTACACCAATTATACCCCTAACTTTATGAGTGTTGACACCACTTCCAACTCTCTCCTTGTTCAAGATAATGATCATGTTAATGTTGCCAATCTCTCATCACCACCACCACCACCACCACCTGAAAACCATTTGATCAGTTTGCTGGGCAACAACACCATTGATGTTAATGAAAACTCTTATAATAGTTATCTAGGGTTTCAAGATGACCATCAGAGCATGTGCAACAGTCCAATGCAGGAATGCTACCATCCTGTATCCGCCATGAAAGAAGGCATGCTCATGTTTGGAGGTGGTGCAACTTGTTCTTCATCTGAAGGTGGGAGCTGCATGAGCCAAATCAGTCATGGGAATTACAACAAAGATCATCATCAGAAGCAGCAGTATCAGATCAAACAAGAAGACCAAATAACTCTTCAAGAACAGGTTCTTGGAGATCAAACTCAAAGCCTGCAGGGTTTCATAATCAATCAGAAGCCAAAAGAGTACATGATCAAGAACCATGTAAGTCCATTGAACAATGATCTTGAGGAAGTCAAGCAACTCAACTTCAACAGCTACATGTTCCATGATGGTGATGAAAGCAAGACAACACATTATCAGAAGGGGATGTGCTCCTATTATTACTGATCATTAGATTAATCAATTCAAAAATTTGTTGTAATTAAGTGGTAATTCAGACAAGATGATCGGGTAGGTTATGATTTTGAAAGGGCATTGAGGGTGTTTTCTGGTTCAGATGAGAGACTTTGACACAGTTTCTTGGGGTTTGTGTTGAGATCTGTACTTGATGGTGGAAATCAATGGAAAACTACTAAAAAAATGAAGTTCTTTTCTTTCCATTCATTTGTTTTATGACACTACGGGGCTGTTTGGCAGTTGCTGAATGATTTAGTGCAGAATAGTTAAGAGGTCAGAATGGTTAAAGAGGGTCAGAATGGTTAAGTGCTGAATAAAATAATGTTGTTTGGTAACTGTTCTCTGAATGACAATAAATTACCATTTTAACCCTCATCTAATAAAAACCCATTATTCGTATTCGATTC